GAGCCTAACAGGACCTATGTGACCCAGTCTCCTGGTTAGGGTTTGCATACCCTCTTGCCAGGTCTTAGCTTGACCACCCTTGGCGCCACAGATGTCTCAAGTTGGCAAATGCCAACCGAGCCTTCTGTATGCGAGCTGACACTTCATCCGTGATGCGTCCACCGGGTGAGATGAAGCTGCCGAAATAACGCAGAGCTTTAGGTAACCGAGGTCGTTCATCGAAGAAAGCAGATGACCTGTCTAGACTGCTTTCGTTGGGACAGCGTGCGCATGTCACCAAACAGATTGATACGGCGCATGCTGTTTGATGAGGCATGTGTTGGATACAAAATGTAAAGGGTGGTTAAACTCGGATCCGCCATGATAGTATGTTGTGTACTGACTGTTGCTGAGACTGCTACCGCACCACCAACTTCCGAGCCGAAAAAGAGAACACAATCAAAATGGCACAGGACAGTATATTAGAAAAAAGCGTGTCTTTCCATTCATTTACGGATCAGTATTCGTTCTATTTATTGCGTGCCGTGCGCTCCGAACGTTCGGCATAACTGACCAATCAGAGTCGTCGGACCAACCGGCTGACCACGCTGTCTGACCAATCAAAAACGTCGGGCTATCCGGTCGAATAAACTGATCGATCACTTTCGGGCCGGAGGCTCACCCAGTTGCGGCTTTTTTCTTTTGGCTATTTTCACCAAAAATATGAATTTTTCGACCGGATTTTTCGAATTAAACCTTCCTGACACAGTATGGAAGTCGTAGATCGAAGTCGCGTAGATCCCATTAGCCTCTTCGGATGATCACATCTGCATCAGCGTGATCAATGGTTAGGGATAATGAGTTATATGGCTGAGTGGAAAACCATGGCGCTCGTGCGTAGACTTATTATCATTGCAACCTTAGGCTTCATAAACTCTCTATTCTCACTGTGCACTGATTCGAAAATTCCAATCTTCTCTTCAAATCATCATCCCAATAGGAAGTTATGACAAAGCAACGAAAACCACTGCACAAAAGTGCATGGTTGATAGTTATAAAAGCTGAACTAAAAGATTCAGCTATACTGTGTAAACAAATCTTTTGCATTTAGACGGAGAATGCCTGAATTAGCCCATTCGGTTTTTTTCACAGGTACCAGACACATTTGATGATCACTCCTTGGAAGATCGTTAATTCCCCATAATTTCATGCATTTACATACTACAGAAATGTTTGTGATAACCAACAAAGAGCACCGAGCAGCTGTTTCGTCCTGTTTGGGACTCGTCAGCAATGCGTAATTTTTGTGTTCCTGTCACGACCAGAACAGCGAATCTTCGGGTCGGGATTTCAAATTCTTACCCCTGAGCACGGTCAACAGTCATCGCCTTGCGCGAATGGTTCAATCAATTTAGACAGCAAATGTTTGGATTAGTTTATTCGGTTTATTCCACAGGCACCAGGCATAGTTGATGATCTTGGATCATTAGCATATGTCCTGGATACCCTCGAATAAAGCGGAGCTGAATGCTACCAGGCGCATCCCCGGGTTGTGGATAGGGGGATACCTTCACCGAAGAAGGTTAGCTGTGAATAAGTTTTGGTATACCGCAACAAATAAGCAGTCGCGAACAAACAGCGGCGGCATTATCAGTGTGGTGGATTTCAGGCTGGTCACCTGGCTCCTGCCTAAAAGCCACATAAGCCCAATGACGGTGTCGTGAAAAAGGTCGATGTGACTGGCCTTTTAAAACTAAAGTCATTGAACCCCTCACTTGGAAGCTGAGGTTTTACTTCCTGCTACCTTGCAGTTTGCACTTGGTTGTGCAAAGGCTAGAGGTGCTCCCTCAAAATAAAAAACGCCGAGTGACGCTGGGGACGTTTCTCGTGCCGAACTCCCAAGTACCTTAATGATTATTTCATGGAGCCGGCTTAACCTTTCCAAGGAGCCAGCCGCAGTAAAGTAAAGTAAGTATTAGCATATGTCCAATTGATCGAAGAGTTCATTACCAAAGTACATTGTTAAAAGTCTTATTTAGGGAGAGTACTTCAGTGAAAGTGAGAGGATGTAACTCATAATAAGTAAAATTGAGTGGAGAAATACATTCAAATTCCAAGCGGCCAGCATCTTACAGAACTATATCGGTGGCTCCTCACTGTGGTCCCTTCGAGCACTAACCCAAGTGTCCTCTCGAAATTCCACCAAGCTGTTCTTGATTATTATCTTGAACATACTGAAGGCTTCATCTAACGGGTTGAAAAATGGGCTATATAATGGCATGGGTAAAATTGCATGCCCAGTCAAATTAGCTCGGACATGGGAGCATTTCAGCCCCTCCACAGTTGAGTGGGACATTTTTCAAAATTTTGTTGAAAGGAAAGTAGTCCCATCGGGATTGACATTCTTAAAGCAGGATTCCACTGATAACACCTTATTACATGAAGGAATTGGTGAAACCCGACTCTTCCACCTTAGATCACTCACTGCTAGGTCATGACTGTTCAGAGTGACTATAAGTTGCACCAATAATTTCCTCGCTGAATTTCGCTTCTTCTCCTGGTACACATGCTCGGACAAATAAAAAAGCATACACTGGGTTTTCAGTTGAAATCTGTTCTGCTCCATGGTCCTCTTTTACTTTAGTCTGGATTGCTTCATAGTATTGCTATTAGAGTATTGGTTCCAGGTCTAAGGCGAAGTGAAGAATAAACTAACATATGCAACACTGTGGATGAGCATTGTTACTTAGCAGTAATCACTATGCACCTAGTTCAGCATGGGTCGAAGACCGGTTAACTATGGCACTCTGGTTTTTACAAACTTGCCCTAAATACGCAATTGGAGCGTTTTTCAGTTCATTTTCAATTTTCACAACCATTAACCATGCACTTTCGTGCGTAGGATTGGGACGTGAACGAATTTATTGTCTTCAGGGAGAAAACGTATACGACGTGGCTTCCACCTGGATAAAGTGCACGTATCCAGTGATTCATCTGATCGGAGACGAGCTGCTGGGTAGCAAATTAGACCGTTTTGTTTTGATCTTCCGCTGATTTCGAGAAACAGGTCACGGTCGTCAGTTATTGGTACTGCAAGACGCACTTCACATATTTACCCAAATCAAAGACTTCTGTCATTCAGCCAGATCAAGTAGGTTGTGCACCGTCCGTTAAGTCCATCTTACAGTAAGTGATAACTGAGACTAGCGATCCATGATCAGAGGAAGATTAAAACATAACAGTTGACTGTCCTCGTCATATTAACAGACGATTTAGGAGGGGGGACGGAACGGACGTGTTCGTTGTGAACAAGCTTTGCCATTTGACACTGTTTCACCGAATACAAGAGCAAGTGAACCACGGTTGAATTGTTCACGCAGCATTTTTTCCGATCTGGTGAATTAACTGGTGTGTGTGTGTGTGGACACTGTATATAAGGGAACAAGTAATTTTAAGTTTCTTTTACCTTGATTCCCTGAGTTGTGCGTTTGGCATCGACAATCATCCCAGCCAGCATGCAGTTGTAGGTATCTTCACTGATATGATCCTCGAACAAGTCAACGTATAATGCCGTGAGTAGTGTGCGCAATGGCGTTTGGAATGACAAAGGACTGTGAAGTGTGGGATGAACGGGAGAATCAGATAAATAAACACAAGGTTAGTGAGTTCGCCGGATATTTAGCAACCTACCCCAGGATAAATGAACCTAAGTGTAACTAGCGGTAAAACGGTTAAGCCGGTGTGTGCAACCAAGCTAAATGAAAGGAGCGGTTGGGGCGGATCAATAAGTGACACAAAGTGGCATAATGGTCAGTCTAGAAACAAAAAGAAAACATCAGGAGACGACTTGAACTTCGTGAACTAGTCGCAGCAAACCGATGAGTCTTCAAGTCGGTAGGATCACAAAAAATCACGGACTAAACTTGCCACTCGAAACTCTACGAATGTAAAGAATGAAAAACGATCCACTACCGAGTAACGCAAACTATGAACACTCGGTGAACTCAAGAACCATTTCACTAAGTTTTAAGAACATGAAATTTACAAGTGGAAAGGATCTTATGGACCCCGTTACGTCAATAATCAACTTGGATGAAATGAACGGAATACACGATAAATATATTCGCCACCATAAAAATCGGAACACAAAAAACCCCCACACAAAAATTTCCCCAGTACTAGAGTCATCTATGTTACACATCTAGAGAATGTAGCACACTGAAAAATGGAGTGTATACGCTATAAACGACTAACATCAAGCCAGACTGATTTTTGCTTGAAGGGAATAAAAATAAAAAGATACCTCGCTTTGCCAGCAGCAATCTTGAATACTGGTTTCGAACCTGGAATTTGAGTCCATAGGGAGGTAACAAATGTTACCCAACTTATCTTTATAATTGATGGTGCATTTCCTTCACGGAACTTTCGAACCGTCATATATGACTGACTACAACATTTGAAAATCGATCAAACATGAGCCATATGACAGACTACTACTGTTATTATTATGATTGTTTACACGTCCATTGAGATGTATACTCTAGTTGATAACGTACCTGATAAGGTGAAGGGTGACAAACCCTTTGGGGAGGAGAAATTCCTGATCAGGGTAATACCATAACCGGAAAATGTCAGTGGAAAGGAGGAGTTGCGGCGCATCTTTTGGTGCATCTGGGGGCCGTGGGTGAATTGTGAAATCGGTTGCGATATACTTGTTTGAAGCCGGTAATACCATATGAGGATCAATACCGCATTCGCGCCAAGCCTGCGGTAATTGAATGCAAAGGTGAAATGATGGTCCACAACGGAGAGAGTTAGCTCACTGATGACAAAACTATACGAACGTTTTGTATTTCAAGAGATTCCCAAGAAATCAAACAGTAAAAAGATTCAGAGCATCGATTTAGTNTATGCATAACCGCTACGCATCATCATCATCATCATCCTACAGCGACGTACAGTGAAGCGAACTTCATTGATCGCTGCCAAGCTCACAATGTAAACACATCAAGCGATAAAGCAAAAGATGGAAAGGGATTGGGCCTACTTCCAGGAAGGCAAAGAAAAAGAACCTCTATGGTCAACACACAGAGTACACAATCTAAGTGTGCATACATACCTTTTCAAGCATTCTGGCCTGATAAGAAATGACAACAAGAACGCCACTGCTGTCGGTCAGTCGCAATATCCTCCAGTGCTTCCAGTCACCTAGTTCATCACCCTTTTAGGGTGTCAAGCGGTGAAGTATCACAGAAGTCAACACTTTT